GTACGGGGCGGGGGGGCGAGACCTGGCGCAAAAATAGGAGACGTGAGTCCTCAGACGCAGCAGAGCTGAGGGCTGTGTTGACTGCAGAAAACTGATACCTCTTGGCCTGAAAAACACAAGGATGGGGCTGATAATGCTGCTTCCTGTTCCTAACCTGCTCAGGAGATAAACCAGGGATTTCAGACTCCAATCCAGCACCTTTCCCCAGTAGTAAATACACGTGGCATTACTGAGTGATGTCATGGCTGGAGCACATCCCAGCGAGGCCAAGCCTGGATCAGGTTATATCTGTCTTCTCAGAATATTGGCTTACTCCCAAAGGAGCATATTGCCAGTCCAAGGGCAGTGACTGAAGCCACCTTTCCCAAGGTCATCTCTCACACACAGAGAGGACAGCACTCACTTCCGTGTACGCAGCCCAGCCTGAGCCGCCCACGCAAAAGTCGCAGTGCAGCCATGGCAGTTGCTGGCTGCACGTAGGGCAAAACCTCTTGACTCTCCTTTCTGGCACCACTTTGTGTTGGCACCAGCAAGGACCCCCAGCCCTCCTTCCTGGTGCTTCATCATCTGGTTGCCTTTGAGGCACAGTGTGAAAGGAGGAATAGGAATCGCATCAACTCCAGCTATGCAGTGCGTCTGTAAATAACCGGTCCTCACAGTTCAGTACGGTTTTGTCGAGGCATCTTCTGGCTGGGATCATCGCAGTGAGAGCCCGGCTGCCCTACAGACCTGAAACGTTGCTTGTTGCAGTCAGCGAGCCCACCCAGACTCAGCTGGGTGGTGGTCTGCGCTGGAGTTTGGACCCCTTCAGCCCTCATTGCCCTCCATTGTTAAATGGGTGCCAGTTTGTCTTCACTGAAGCTGGAGCAAAGCTGTAAGGCAGGCATAACAAAAGCCCTTTGGTTCCCTGGCAGGTCAGCCTGGTGGAAGTCAGCAAAGTCCGGTCTAAGCAAACTGCACTGCTTCGCTTCTAATCGGGCTGTAATTCTACTTCAATGATGCAACTCTTTAAAAATAGATCAGGCCTAATTAGGAACAGGTCTAATCACAAAATCGATGGAAGTGAGGTGTGACACGCCTTGAGCGAAGGGGAGGTAGGGATGTGCATGGTGCTAGGACCCTGCAGTGGTAGGAGGCACCGGGGGCCCCTGCAGCCCCTCGATTCCTGATATGCTTTGCCGTGGTTGCTGTATCCCACACTTCCCCACTGGAAATCCTGTGCCTCTGTGCCTGTGCTGGAGGGAACCTCCTCCATCAGTCAGCATTTCCAAACGAGCCCGTTTCCTCCCCCAAACACAGCTGGAGTGTAAATAACCCCCCCCGCCATGGAACCATGGCTGCAGAACCAGGGGGCTTGCGCTCTGCCCGTGTTTGTGCTGATCAGGAACTGCTTCTGCTGTCCTTCCCCAGCCTAGCTGCTTAGGGCCACCGCAGCTCTGCAGCACCCATCTCGGCTCCAGCTTTGTGTGTCAGACCTGGACTCCTTGCAGCCTCGAAGGGGCCAGCCTTGGGTTTCACAGCCGCCTGGCCAGGACAAGGGACAGAGATTCCTCCCCAGGCAGCGCAGGGGCAGGTGACCCTCTCTTTACAGACAGCAAGTGTGCCAGGAGAAGAGCCCTCATGGCTGGCAGGTAGCAATGTGGGCCGCACAGCATCCCCCTGGGCAGCTTGGCCTCTGCGGCCATGCCGAGTGGGATCCGTGGGGTGGAGGAGCTGCTGGTGTCTCCACAGCCGGCTGTCACATCCCCACTGCGACACTGCAAGCTATGACCAGCCAATATGGATTAATTGCAACCAGTTTAATTTTGTGTCTGTAAATTAAGCTGTTTGACGATTAAGCCAGTGATACAAAGAGACTTCCAGGAGTGAGGAGGACATTAACATGCTAATAGACCTTGCTGGTAGAAGGTTTACTTAGACACATCCCAGGGGGCAGATGACAATTAACATCCTAAGAGACTCTTCTAGAAAGAGGATGCTAATTCAGACCTGCTGGGAAGGGAGATAATTATTTATTATTATTTCACATAGCCCTGCAACCTCCCATTCAAGAATGACCAAGATACTCTAGGACAGGTAAGTTAGGAGAACCAACAACAGCAATGATACCTAAAAGTTGTCCTGGAGCCACCCAAGGGGAGAAACATGGAGAAGAAGGAGGGAGAAAAAGCTGCAGAAACCATCCTGGTCAGCCAGACAGGGGAGGAGAAAGAAACACAACTTCCTGAAGGCACATTAAAGGAAGCGGGCAGGAGAGATCAGACCTGCAGGCCCAGCAAACAGAATATTCATTTCAGTAGAGCAAGAAGGGTGTAACTGTGGCAGGAGGGAGGTAATGTTTGCTCTGAAATGCCTTTCTGCCCCAGAGAAATACTCACAGAGGACACTGAGCCCACCCACTCTGCTGTGCACAACCAGTGCAAAACAGGAAGAGATTACACAAGATTTAGGATCAGGGACTTAAAATACAATGACCTTTGTGATATGTGTACATAGGGAACTTAACACGACTCGTAACCTTGACACACTCTGGTGTACTGCTTGACGGGGGGGGGTGTCACCACTCTTAGAACCCCACGCGGGCACCAACAGAACAATTTGGAATGCTATCAGTCGTGTTGTAGCTTGGCTACTGTGAGTTGTCAAACACACTGTAATGGCTTTTTCCACAGAAGATAGATTGCAGGAGCCAGCTAACCTGCCTGACAAAGAGCAAACATATAAACGTGTATATATATTTGTTCACTCGTTTTACTACTACCTGTTAATCCATCATGGTCAGCTGCAGATACTAAACGCTGTTTTCTATTGGAGCTAATTCATACCTTGAGCTATCAGAAGGGGAGTCCTCAGCAGCAAAGGGAAGGAGCTGCTCTCTTTCCTCTGTTGAATCTAAGATTGCAGAGGTTGTTTCTTTCTTCTTTTCCCAGCTGTTACAATCATGCGGGACATGACATTTAGAGCGGTAGAAATCCCAGAGCGGGGCTAGCTGCGTACTCACACCACCAGACTCTGCACCGCCTGGTGCCGGGTCTCCCTGCCAGCCGTGCCTCCCCAGCGATGGCGGGTGGCCACAGCCTCTCTCCTGTGCCTGCAGGAACCCGCTTGCTCCTCTCAGGTGTTTGCTCTCCTCCTGCCTAAATCTGTTAGAGGGGCCTGGCAAAGGCTGGGCTGAGGAACCTGCCCGCACTGCAGGGCCTGGATACGGCCTGGCTGTAGGAACCGCCTGCTCCTGGGGACTTGGCCAGGCAGGCCCCGGCCCGGGGCTCCCCTGGCGCAGGGCAGCCAGCCCGGGGGGGCCGGCCGGGCTGGGCGCTGGCCAAGGCAGAGCCGTGGGACGTGCCTGGCCGAGGCCGGGCTGC